CAACAGAGGAAATAAGATGGAACTTTAACCATCTCTCAAAGGGTTTCTTCCATATGTATGTTAGGATATCTAATAAAAGAAAACATTTCACACATTCATAAAAATAAAGTGATAAACTGCATTTAATGGAATATCATTTTTTTCCATTTTTCATACTTTTTGATCACCTTACCATCTTGGGCAGAGGCTATTATACTCGTTTATAAGCAGGCTGAGGCTTGCTAAATGTTTTTTTTTTAGCTAAAACATTTATAATAAAGGCTGGACAGCCCTGCTGTTGGTGTCATTTCCGGTATTCAGTCTGTCTAGGGGTGAATGGTTTCTTTAGAGCAGGGGTGCTCAAGTCCAGTCCTCAAGAGCTACTATCCTGCAACTTTTTGATGCACCCCATTTTTAACACACCTGAATCAAATGAGTGGCTCATTACCACACCTCTGCTGGGATAAATGAGGGGATTGAGCCTTTTGATTCAGGTGTGTTAGAGAAGAGATGCATCTAAAAGTTACAGGATGGTAGCTCTTGAAGACTGGACTTGAGCACCCCTGCTTTAGAGGATAGCACAAGATTAAAGGAGCCGACCATCTAATTGCTGCATCCATTAAATCCCAGTATGAAATTTCCTAAGCCTTTGAAAAAATGGATTGTTGTCCAGCGTCTAGACTCCAATAAGCTTAGAAAATGGATTTTCCTGTCAGAAGAGTGAAACAGAAGAGAAGGTTAAACAGCCTGCATCTTATCAATAAATGGATAGAGCACAGATCGGTGGCAACTTTCAGGAGAAATGTGCATAAAGTATTTAAGTTTTGTCCTCTAGATAGGTGCTCCCTCAAAAAAGCAGTTGTCACAGTGATTGAGACTGAAAACAGATCATCCAGTGTTTCCACGTCACATATAGTAAACCAGCTGAATCTGTACTGTAAACATGGAGCTGGTTTTAGTTAAGTTGAACTGACAAGTAATATGGGCAGCTATAGTAAGGCATGAGTTAGATCCAGAAAGTAATTGATAATCTACACAAAATGAAACCATGAATTCTCCCTCCAAATTGCTCTTTAGTAACTATTATAACTATATGCAATGGTAAATTGTTGAATTTTGCAGCAGTAGTTTTTGCTGTATTTTCCTAAGATGTGATATTTTGAGGTTCTGGAAAGTTGTCCTTATGTTTTCATTTTACATCACTAAAGATGTCATCGTATGTAAAGCAAAAAACACATTACCACATCAACATTAAGATATCGCCGTTTGTCAAAATGATTACTTTTAGGTTTTCTCAAGCTACATTTGAATGCACCACTTAAAGTCTGATTATAGAACATATATTTCTAAAGTAATATATTAAACCTATGGAGCCCTACTGGAATATTTCATTATTTGCAAAGCAATGCTTAAAAGTCTATAATAATTCTTAATTTAACAGTAAAACGATCATCTTAAAGTCGAGGTAATTTGGTGAATTTTGACTTGTTTTTTTTTCCTCATCTTCTTGATTTGTTTCATCATTTAAAATCTCTTAAAACTTTAAAAACAGCATAAGTTTGCTGTTCCAGTAGAAAAAGCAGCCAGAATTACTGTAAGAGCTGGTGTTAATGGATCTGACTGCAGGTTCAGGATGTGTAAAGATTCCCCACAGTTGGAGGTCATTCTTCCTAATCATTAACTGAAGCTGAAACAAACTACATGTTATTTAATCAGTTAAACGTTGACCATTGAAATGACAACTAAAACAAAGCTTACTTTACTCAACAGGCTCAGATTGAAGATGAACATTGATAAAACAGTTTTAATATTGCTGATGCCCTGATTTCCCCTGATTAAAAATATTAAATCTTAACATTTGAATATAGAATCATAGGAATTTCTATGAAAGATGGAGGAAAATTAGATATTCCCCCAATTTACATATTTGCATTGCTTCTTATTCAAACAGGAATTTAAGTTATATTTCATGTCATATTAAGCTAAACCCTTTGCTTATAGACTGCAGGTTTACTGGCAGTTCCTAGAGTTTCTAAAAGTAGAATGGGGAAGCAGATCTGCAGGGAAACAATCCCCCAGTGATTTGTCCCTGAGATAGACACCCTGTCTACTTTTAAACTTGACTTATCCCCATTTGGTATAACTTTAAGTTTGGTTTAAATGTGTTCTCTTTTGTACAATTTATGCTATTCTGTAACTTTAATGTCAAATCAGAGCTTGTAAAAATCAGAAAGGAATCAGATCTACATCAGGTTAGCAGGATATAAGCAAAACCCCTCCTTAGGCCTCACTCTTCATCATGATTCGTAACAATAAGGGTGGAACTTCATTCCAGACATTCCAAGAAAAGTACGACATTTAGATACTTTTTCTCCTCGCTTTAAAAATGTCAGCTTACATTTCACATTATCTTACGGGATCATGTCAGCGGAGAGCAATTCGACATCCCCGACAATGGCCTCACTGTCAAGTAAAAACCATCCGCCTGTTCCTCAGTTACACACAGATGCAGACCTGAATGAATCCTTTCTGTACGTCTGAAACATGTCCTGCCAGATTATGTGACAGCACCAGCATGTTCCACTTTAAGACCCCCACACCAGTAAAAAAACAAATCTACACTCATGTTTCACCACACCTGCTACCACTGGCTATTCTGGTGTTTTGGACACATGTTATTTCTGCAGAGGTCTATAAATAGTCTTCTGACTTCTTATTCAAAGTAAATTATATCTGACTGTTCAAGGGAAAGAAAAGGAGGGACATTTTTTTCCCTGACAAATCCCATAATGCCTTTCCCATTAAAAGTTATGACAAGATGAAGCGTTTCGTGTGAAACAAGAAATTGGTCCAATTTTTACAGAATAGGAATAAAAAACAAGTACGCTACTGATAAAGGGATTTGGCTTCTACTTAGTGTTATCCTTCGTCAGCCAAGACAAGAGTGCTTAATTCGTAGTTCTTGTTGTCATAGCATTTCTCAAAATGGGTGAAATTGGAAAACTGTCATCCAGGAAAAAATTAGTATTTTATCAAACTTGATGGCTTTAAAACAAACATGTTAAAAACATTTTTTTTTTCTGCAAGAGAAAAAAGTTCAAACACTGTTGATGAAACAACGCTGCCCTCTGCTGGAAAAGGAGAAAATTATCATTTCAATTATCCTAAAGTTTTTTTTTTTTTTCATGAGGGACATTTAATTAAAAAATATATTTTTTTTAATTGCAGTTTTAGCATGTCTATAGTCCATTATGTTCAGCTGGTCTTTGCTAATATAACGGCTCCATCTTGCTCAAACTGTATCTTGTTTTTTTTTTTTCTATTGCACTCTATTTTCTGCTCACTCAATCCACTTTCTATTGGATTTAGGTCTGGGGACAGAGAAAGTCACTGAAGGAGGTTGATCTTGGTGCTCAGTAAATCAAATATTCGTTGACAGGGTCATATATTTTGATCATGAAGAACCTAAAGGAGCCATTGAAAATCTATTTTTAGTTTACTGGGGAAGACTTTCATCACAAATGTCTTGGTATTTCATGCCCTGTAAGAAGATTCCTGTGTTTTTTGATAGAGAAACAGGCCCACAGCTTCACAGGCTAAACATAGGGTAGGATCAGTTTTCCAGATATGTAAGTAGATAAGACCTTTCCTTAAATTAACAAAAAACAATTTGCATGTTAAAAACTCCCGATTGTTGCCCCGAGTGCAGCAGTAAGTTGCAGCCTTTTTTACTTTTCCATTTTAGGAGTGGCTAAGGGAATATTTTATTGAAACTAAATAAATCTGAGATTTGCCTGTCAACAAAGAAAATAAAGAAGAAAGAATAGAAAGTTAGTTCAAATTATCGACATAAAAAGGTTGGGTTTTTGTAATGTTTTTCAGTTATTCAATTTTTTTGTTTTTAAACATCACCTTACCAGGGGTTCCCATGTAACGTGATTGCCAGCCCAAGGTGTATAAAACAAAGGTTGGAAAAAAAAAAAAGTTCCCAAATCATATCCTGGAGTGTCAAGTCACATCTCACAGGCATGTAGAAGTAACAAAATCTACAGGCATCCCCAAACTCGGTCCTCAAGGCCCCCTGTCCTGCAGGTTTTAGAGGTTTCCTTCTTCTTCTTCTTATTGAGTTTTATTGGCGGTTGGCAAAAAACGTTAGGTGAGCATTACCGCCACCAACTGGTATGGAGTGTGGACTTAGAGGTTTCCTTGCTTCAGCACAGCTGATTTTAATTGAAAGCTGATTAACAGGCTTTTGGTCTACTGCAATCATTATAACCAGCTGTGCTGAAGCAGAGAAACCTCTAAAACCTGCAGGACAGTGGGCCTTGAGGACCGAGTTTGGGGATGCCTGTACTAGGTCAAGTATTTGTGTCAGTTTGATAAAGTTCTTAATCAAGTATTGGTGATGACAGTTTTATTAGATTGAGTCAATCTCTGGGTATTATAATAGCAAATCACTCAGCTTTATGTAGTCTAGTTCACCCTTTCGGGGCCCACATGGTCAATGTCACCTAAGGTCAGTCAGAGATGTGATTATAATAAGCCAGGGAAGGTCCATGGAAAAGGAAATGAAATGACAAAAAGCGTCTTTCTACAGTTTTTAAAGAGGCCGGTCCAAGTTTGTATGAGACCAGAAGCAGAATATCATTAGTCTACTTTCATGCAAACTATGCACCATTATAAAGATTTTGACAAATGGGGAAGGAGGGAAGAAGGTTGATGTTTTCATCATAAGAAACTAGAAGCAAAATATTTTTTTGGCACCCGCGCAACATGTGTGTTGTAAAATTAACATCACCCCAAACACATGGCTTTTATCATGTAGCAAGGAGGTTGCAGCATCATGCTGTGGTCCTCTCTAACTTTAGTTAGGACAGAAAAGTTGGAAAAGGTGGATCAAACTTTATCCTGAGTATTTAGACAAGCTACTGGGGACTTAGTTGTAAGTAAAGCTGACTTTGAATCTGTTTTCTCTAAAATAATTTACACAATTTCAAAAAAATTTTACTGTTTATTGTCACAAAAACATAGTTACACATTTAAATACAGAGTGCAAAAACTTATTCTTCATGGAATAAAACATTAACATTCTATGGAGAGTGAAAAGTGCCCAATTACAATATTTACATATGGAATTTGTTGTCATAGCAACAAATAATAGTAACAAATTAACAAATATTTTTTGTTACTATTATTATTTGTTGCTATGACAACAAATCCCATGATGCTTTGCGAGGAGAGCTTCCTTGCAAAGCATTCTGGGATATATCTGCTCTTCTAGTGACCATGGATGATCACTACTTAAATTACAAAGATGGTGCAGGCACCAATCAGGGAGGCGTAGTCACGTGACCAACGGGGAGCAAAAAGTATCAGTTAACCGAGTTCACTATGTAGTCCCCGCACTAAATAGCGATTGAGGGCTTAAGGGTTAGGGCGGACGTTCGCACACAGACATGGTGAGGCCTGATAAAGAGGAACTGTTTACGTATTCTAATTTTTAGAGAGAAGTTTTGCACCTTATTGGAGAATTATGTCAGAGATCATCCACTGGATTATTTAAATCCAAGAATTAGACAAAATGTATGATGTTCTTGCAGTCATTTCAACCAGTCATGACAAAGTGTTCGAGCAGACAGTATTTACCGTATTTTGATATAACATCTGCTATTCTGAATTATCATGTAAATATCAATAATGGTCGTAAACATCAATAATTTCTCTGCAGTTAAGAAACGTCACACAGATCCTACATAACAAACTGAAGCAAATAAGCTTTGTGTATTTATTTCTAAGTTTATTTAATTACAGACATTTAAATAATTAGTTAATGGATATTTTATTGTAATTTGGCACTTTTCACCCAGCAAAGATCCCATCTTATCTTATTTTGCTTAGTTTTTATTGTGGATTATCTGTTCCAGTGCCATTTGGGAAGTGCTTAAATGTATTGTTAAAATGTGTTGAGTTGCCTTAATAAAATAAGGGAAACATGCAGAAACAAGAAATAAAATTTCCATTATCTTCACCACAGTGCTTTTGTGATAGCTTTATTTCTTCATCCTATAAGGGACTGAAACAGTTGCCTGGATTAATAGTTTATTCCAAGGTGAACACCAATGAAGGTTCATATAAATGAAAGCCTTAGCTTTAATTTTGTCTAATATTTCCTATAAAAATGAGTAACAACAGTAAAAATGGTGGCAACATTTTATGCCAGCCTCCTTGATGTACTAGATTTAATAGTTGTGAACAAGCTAATAAAAGTTAATCCTAAGAAAATGGTGCGTTGTGTGTTTTGTTGACGATGCTTTGGAAAAAGTGAATTAGGTTTGATGTTCCGCTGCTACACTTCACAGCCTCACGTTTCGTTTTTTTTTGATAGTCTTCCTTTCGGTTTTGTGGGTTTTCTTATATCCAGCTGTTGAGGAAAAATAAAGAAGTGCTCGTTACATGATGTGTCTTAAAGAAGAGCTGCAAAAGTTCACATTGCATTCAAGATTTCACAGATTTTCCCTTTATTTTTTTAAATCACATTTTGTGATCTTTTAGCCATTTTCAAAATGTATTAACCTTTACTGCTTATTGCTAAACACAAAATCCCCAAGATAAAAAAAAAAAAAATTACAACGGTATTTCAAACAAAAGATTCAAATATGTAATGCTACATTCAGACGGTACAAGACAGAAGCAGCAAAAAAAAGCGCTGGCTGCTCATTTTTGATGTTTGTACACATTAAGGTCCAACATGCCTCAAGAGCATCCTTGATGCTTCTGAAGCGCGTCCAGTAAAGTGTGAACAGATGCTGCAATGGCACAGAGCGGCTTTGCTGTATTTGCTGTCATAAGTGGGTAAAAAAAAGCAAACATATTTGGCTAGCAGGTTTCAGTTAATGTAGGCATTAATAAACTGTTTCAAAGGAGTTATCATAGCTCTCTGCTTCAGTAGTGCTATGTCTCTCTCCCTATCAGATCAAGCTACTCTGATTGGTTGATGCGTCTAGCAGCAAAGGTTCAATTTTTCCAACTCCAGCAGTTGCTGCTTGTGAAATGTGTCATGCTGCTCAGATGCTCAGAAGCTGAATGCGCACTGCTTCAGCTGCTCACACACGTCAAAATGCGCTCCTCCTGCTGCTCGTAACGTGCTGCAGGACCTTTTGGTGTGCTTTGATGCGCGTCAACCATTGACTTTGCATGTAAACCAGCTGTTTCTGCTGCTTCAGTAGCGTGCGGTCTGAACGTAGCATAAGAGTTGACAATCCTTCATTTAAAACTTGTGTGACTTGGGTAAAGACTCACTTCTTCTAGTTTCTTTTGAAGAGATTTCTCGCTCCACAGCACTCTCAGAAGTTCATTTAATACAGTTTCTATTTCACTGGATCAATAACGGAAATGGTTAATGGTCACATACAGCTTAATAAGGTAAAACATCCTGAGTTTCCACTAACCCTTTATGCTTGTTCCTTAAAAAATTTACCACGGCTGTATCTTCGATGATATATTTGGCGTGATGCACATCCGTCTGGCTCAGGTTTAACAAGATTTGAAACACTGGCTTTCTCACCTCACTAGAGAAATCTGTGTCAGAACTTTGCAGCGTACTCAAAATCCCTCGAATCAGTTGACAGACTGCAAAAGTGACACAAAAAGAAATCTCAATAATGTGTCATATTTTTTTAACCTGCAAAATTAAAGTTTATAAAAACGTATTTATTTTATACAGATTTTATGTGACAGATGATTAGAGAGTAGTGCATAATAGTAAAAAGGATGGAAACTTACTTTTTTATTAATTTTATGAATAAATATTTGGGTTACATGTTGGAAAACACGGTGGTGGCAGCATTATGCAGCAGGTATGCATTTCTTAGTGGGAATTTGGATGCATCGAGTCAATTGATGGAGTTAAAAAAGCAATATTGGGGAAAAAAAAGCAGAGGCTCCAGGAGACTAAAGCCTGGACTAAGGTCCAGCAAAACAAAAACTAATATAAATGCAACATGAAGGACTCGGAGCTGTTACTGCAGCAGTTGCTATTTCAAAGTATAACCTAAGAAGGGTTAAATACAGGTACATGGTGCACTTTTTAGATTTTTGTTTTTATAAAATCTGTAAACCCCTTATTTATTTCTTCTGTGACATTATGAACTACTTTTTACACGTCTGTCACATAAAATTCCATAAAATACAGAAGACACTGGAGTTGTTAGAGGATACTGTTAGAGTGTGAAGTTACAGATTTCAGGGTGAAGTTTCGGAAAGCGGGAAAGGTTTTTCGTCAGATATATGGCTGGTTTCTTTAACTTGTTGTCGCCATCATCTAAAACCGTCTTAATTTTCTGGAGTCCATTTTCAGCCTCAACTAAAGTGCAGGCAGTATGTTCGGAGATCTGTCAGAGGCACAGAAAGAAAGGATTTATTAAATTTATTCATGTCAGAAAACCCACAGCTTAAGGCGGCGAAACAGTTCCTGTTAAAAAGCACCAAAATATTCCAGTAATGTTTGCTAATAACATTTTTTTCATTTAAAGATTTTTTGAGTAGCTGTGTTATTTAAAGGATTTCGTTTAATTTTTTCATACCTAATGTCTAGTAAGATTTACAGATTCAGAGGCCGACATTGTCTTTTCTTACCTCTCCCTTTCCAGCTGTGAGATTCTGCAGCGCCCCGATGGCAGCCTGCTGTGTCAAGCTCCGCTTGCTGCAGGCCAACAGAGACAGATACACCCGCACAGCAGACTTACTATATAGCCACTCGGCTCCTTTCATCTCTTTCAGCTCCCACTGTTCTAAGCTCACTGCATGTGGAGAGTCCTTCGCCTCCTGAGAAGAAATTATTCAAAGCTGCAGAGTTTAGGATGGTTGTGGGTTTCAGTGTCCCATAGAAACAAAACAAAAAGCTCAAAAATGGTTGTGGCTTTTTATTTTTTAATTATTTAATAAGGAAAGAAAGACTGGCTCATTCTGGTACAACTATAACTTCCAGCCAATACTCTTTAGAGTTTACCTAAAATAACTGAACAATGGATAAATAATGGGCATTTCAAGATAAATTGTGCATCTCCCCGTTTTGGCTGTGGAAAACCTCTACACACTCTGCAGGGTTCTCCAGGGTGTTTGGAAGTTTGTGCACATGTGTTTTGTGGACCTGGAGAAGACATTCGACCATGTCCCTCGTGGTGCCCTGTTGGGGACCCTTTACTAGGGGCCATCTGGTCTCTGTACAAGTGCGTATATATGCATGTACAGGGGTTGGACAATGAAACTGAAACACCTGGTTTTAGACCCTAATAATTTATTAGTATGGTGTAGGGCCTCCTTTTGCAGCCAATACAGCATCAATTCGTCTTGGGAATGACATATACAAGTCCTGCACAGTGGTCAGAGGGATTTTAAGCCATTCTTCTTGCAGGATAGTGGCCTGATCACAATGTGATGCTGGTGGAGGAAAAGGTTTCCTGACTCGCTCCTCAAAGACACCCTAAAGTGGCTCAATAATATTTAGATGTTCAACTTCACTTTCATGTTCTTCAAACCAATTTTTCACCAGTCTTGGTGTGTGTATTGGTGCATTGTCATCCTGATACACGGCACCTCCTTCAGGATACCATTTTTGAACCGTTGGATGCACATGGTCCTTCAGAATGGTTCGGTAGTCCTTGGCAGTGATGCGCCCATCTAGCACAAGTATGGGGCCAAGGGAATGCCATGATAGGGCAACCCAAACCATTACTGATCTACCACCATGCTTCACTCTGGGCAGGCAACAGTCTGGGTGGCACGCTTCTGTGGGGCTTCTCCACTCCGTAACTCTCCCAGATGTGGGGAAAGGTGGACTCATCAGAGAACAATACATGTTTCACATTGTCCACAGCCCAAGATTTGCGCTCCTTGCACCACTGAAACCGACGTTTGGCATTGGCACGAGTGACCGAAGGTTTGGCTATAGCAGCCCGGCCGTGTATATTGACCCTATGCACCAACATGGTTTGCATGTATATACAGAATATATATGCAAAGACTCACAGACTTCCCTCTCCACAGACATAGAATGAAGATGAATTAGAAAACATTTCTTGCATATTCCTCGAACCTCACCATTTGTTAATTCACTATTTCTAATGTCAAATGTTACAGGAAAATAGAGTAAAATTATCTGTAGTGTTTAATTTTTTTTTTTGAAAATTGTTATACATTTACATTCAACCCCTTGACTGGGTCAATATGTATCATTCAATTATTTCAACCAATGTCCACCTTTAGGTTTGCTTCTATTTGCTAAATAAGTGTCCCCTATTAAGCACCATCAGTTTATTACCAACTATTAGATGTCATTTAGGAACTTCATAGCAAAGGGCCAATAGAAATGCAAGCCAAACTTTTCCCAATTGTTATTAAAGGAAACATTTGGGTACTAAGTTTCTTTTTCTTTTGTTTTAAAGTTTAGCAACACGTTATGTCGGCCTATTTGGAAAAATCCAAATAAAGTACACTGATGTTTGCTCTTTGAACAACCAACTTCTTACAAAATCTTGAGCTGATGAAGTCTGTGATCAAAGATGTTCACAAAAGTAGTAGTTACAATTTTCTTGTTATTTTCAGCAACGGTAAATATAGGGAAGATTATGTACCAAAAAGCTAAAAAATGGACGACTAATGAATACCCAATCTGAAATATTTGGCTGCATTGGAAACCTTTTGTTGACCAAAGGGATCATAGTCCAAAGAGTTTACCTTTGGAATCTTGGTGCTGATCTTGGAAAAACATCCAAAGGTTGAATTTTTGTGAACCTCTTTGCGATCGTTGATGCTTTGGGAATCAAAGTCACACTCAGCTTGATAAGTCAGGTTTTGCAGGATGCAGACACAGTTTTCTGTGGACTTTAAAAAGAAAGAAACATGTATGAATAACTAAACACACCCCAACCAGCCTGTTAAACATGTGCATACCGAATGAACCCAAACCTTTACAATGTCAACGTGTATTGTGGACAGGATTACACCTAAAGAAGTTTGCAGAACTATTCATCCTTTTTAAAACCTTTGACGAATAAAGTTGTATGTAATGGATCAAATCCATCTAAAACAGACCTTTCACTGCATTTACAATCTCATGAAGCATGCAGCAGAAAAACAGGTTTTCTTACAGGATTTTCCAGTTTTTAACCTAATCCAGTCTCCTAAACAACTCTCACCAGCTTCCTTTCTGTAGTGAGAATGGTTCCCACAGCCTGAGGCTGCCATGGTGCATTTAAGATAGAGGACTTTTATCTTTAAAAACATTTAAAGCTACATTCTAGGGTCCTTTCTCTTCACAAATTAAGCTCTACTTACTGAAGATCTAAAATCCCCCACAAAAATGCACTGACATTTAGAAAGACCTCCGAACATATGAATATTCATGCAAAGCACTTATGTGACCAAAAGCAGAAATACCTGCTAGTGCAGTGGATGTTGGCAGACAACAGACATTTTTCTACTTACATCGTCATCAGGTTTACGGCTGGCTATGGTCCCTTGTATATAGTAAACCAGCGAGTCTATGAGATTTTTGCACTTCCTCATAGCTCTCCTGACGTTTGGGCCGGCAGAGCTTAGATTTCTTCAAGAAAAAAAAACATACAAATCATTATGATGAACCATGCATGTGTTTTTCAATGAAATGACTTCTCAGCATGTAGATCCATGTATGCTAATGAGAACCTGTAGGTCAATACGCTATTTTTGACGAGTCATGGTGCCATTTTTTAAACTTAAAACAAGTTGATAAAGTTTTTCTTCATTGACTGAAAGCTAGAAAGATTTAAAAACACAAGGAGACGATGAATACATGCGCTCTATGAGGAGAGAATAATTTCAGTTCAACCGAGAGGGAACGTGAGAGTCTCCTGAAAAAAATCAGGCGGTCACAGTTTTCCTCAGGCTGTAGTTCTTGACAAGATGTGCCCGGCAGCACCGTCTTCGCTAACACACCCATGGGTGGCATCTGCATGAGTCAGAATGAATTCAAGGAAGAAACTTCTATTGAAAATGATATCGTCCAGAAAAAATTTCTATAGAACTCAGATCAGAATTTCCTGTTAACAGAAAGGAAGATGTAAGAACAGAAGGGCACAAGGGAGCAATTAACGAAGGACACAAGGATGAAAACAAGGAAGATAAAAGAAAAAACATATCTTATCCCGAACTAGACACCCTTTTCCAGATTCTGACTGCACAGCGACCCTGTGTAAAGTAGCTGTGTTTGACAATGAATGGGTTAGCTAAAGACAAGCAAGCATCCTCTCCAGCAGTTTAAATAGAACTGGTTCAATTCCCCACCGTAGACAGCCTGTAGCGCAGTGGAAAGCCTTGGGGTCAGCGATCATTTCATCTTTGGGGTTTTCAGCTGCATTCATCCCAGAGCTGGGCACCAAGACCGACTTTGTGATGATATTTAGCCCCTTTTCATCGAATTGTTCCTTTATTGTATCGTCTGAAGACAGATTCCACAAGAGACCTGAAAGCGAGAGGCATAAAAAATAAGACTAGTCATTTGGCTTAAACAAGATGGATGTAACTAGAGAGGGGGCACCCAGGGTTTACAGACCAAACTGGGGGGGATTTCATAGTTTTGCTTAATTTAACAAGTAAAGTTAATAAAAAATAAAAAGCATTGGACTAGCCAAGAAGAAGCTAGGGGGAAATTTCCAGGGCAAAATCTGATAATCTTATTCTCAGCCTGATGCATTAATATTTATTAATAATATGAATTAGGGCTGCAACTAACTATTATTTTGCAAGTAGATTAATCTGTTGATTATTTTTTTGATTAATCAATTAATAATCTGATAGTCAAAAGATCCTTAAAGAAAAAAAAAAAGAAAAATTAAAACAGGTGAAACTAAAACCTTTCCACTTGAGGAGTTTTGGATAGAGCATATTGACAGAGAGAAAAGATTTTTTTTTTTTTTATCTTAAATGCAAAATGTTTATACATTGCTGCTCAAAGTGGGTTGCTTTGTCAGCTAAAGACATGTTTTAGAATGAATCCATTACCAGATTAGTTGACAACTATTTTAAAAATCCATTAATCCATCTGATTAATTATTTCAGCCCTAATATTAATCAAAAATAATTTAGAATTTCTGTATTATTTTCAGATAAAATCCAGTATATGAAGTGTTTTTAGAGCTTCAGGCTCCAGAACCACAGACTGACCTAAGAGTTATGCTGCTGTTACAAAGCCACCAGTCTCAAATTCCCTCTGGGATTATTAAAGTATGTCTAATTCAGTCTGATTCTGATGAGTTAGTTCCTTTTCCTCTGTTAGAGCCTTGCTGCTTGATCTCAGACTAGTGGAAAGCTAGACAGTCATCTTGCCAATAACCACCTTTAATTCAATTTGGGGTATCTAGAGGTACTACCAGGTTAGAGGGGGTATAGATAAGTTTCAGGAGCATGTCATCTTCCTTACCACCACCATATTGAGTACCAAACACTTAGCATAGCTCTGTGGTGCTTCCTCTCTGACCAAAATGGATCATTCTCATTTAAATACCCCTGAACTTCAACGACACACAGAGAAATTTGATGTTATTAAATGTGATCCTTACAAAGTTCCTGAAAACTTTTTTCCAATACCTTTCTTCATTTGACAGGCTTCAAGATTTTTCCTTTCACACCTTATACATACATCTTATACACAACCTCGTCCTCATACACCTGAAAAAGTCTAAAAGCTTTAAGAAGCACAGATGCCTATCACTATTTCACAGCTGGCTGGATCATTGATCCGAAAAAAAAAAAAAAAAAGATATTCATGTGTAAAGTGAAGGTAAGCTGTGTTCTGCTGATCTTTATGCTTACTTTATGTAAGCAGCTTAATATCAAATTCTTTCACAAAGTGTCCAGTCAGTGTAATCTAATCACTTCATTTTCTGGCGGACAAAAACAGGACATGACATTAAATCCAGTTGGCAGCAGCCTGAGGTAGCTCTCCTGACCCGTTTTGAACCCTCCCGATACGTAATGTACACTGCACACACTAGATACATGCAGTCGCTCACCAGTTAGCCCTTCTGATCGCTGACACCCATCCCTGACAACATTCATTATCTTTTGGCAAGCAATAATAACAGATATTTGGGTCACCTTTGTATTGTCATACCCAACGGCACAATATACGGACTATAAACCGCTCACAGAATGGCAACCAGAACTGAGTTCCCTATCAATGAAGATCAATTCAGCCACTGGTTTTACTAACTAAAACTTTATCTTCCTATTGGTTGCAAAAATTTGCTAAATACTTTTTGCAACCAACACATCTTAAAAACTAACTGGGTCTCATTTTTAGTTAAAATCTAAAAATACGCACCACTGCTTCTATTTAGTGATGCTCTCAAAGCCCAAAAGGTCAGTGTGGGTGATGATGTAGGTTTCTCTGTACTGATTATTAAGGTGGTATAACATATTTAAAAGCCTGACCTGAAAGCTGGTGTATGGTCTCCTTATCGCGCGTGTTTTCCAGCGCGTCCAGGATGAGAACCAGGCCACCACAGGCCTTCACCTCAGTCTTGTTATCATGGTGGGCGTATACGGCATTTCGCAGAGCCCCTGCTGCGTTGCGTTGCACCTCTTCGCTGTCGTTTTGGAGCATTTTCAAAAGCTTTAATACTCCACGTACATTGTAAACCTGAAACCAAGGAACCAGCATATGTAGATGCTAACATAAATTCTCCCCACAAAAATGAAAAGTTGATGGCTCACAGATTCGGATGAAGCTGTACAGCCAGGTGATAACAGAAATTAGGTCATATTTGTGGGTATACATACCCAATCTCTATTATCATCATCCAAACATTGGGACTGTATGCATCTGGTGGCAGAGACCAGGGTTTCCTCATCAGTCAGGTCTAGAAGTGAGAAGGCCTTAAAAATCGTCATCTCTGGACGCTTTTTAACCGTCTTCCTAAGTGAGAGGTAAAAAAAAAATTTTTTAACCGGCTGACTACAAATAAGGTAAAATTTTCCCAGTTGGTGCTGATCTTACAGATTTAAGAACCACTGCTGACTGTCCACCTCAGTCTCCTCCCGCCTTCTTTTATCCAAGCTCTCAGCCTCAATGGAGGGCAGGGATGTTTGATGTCTCTGGGAAGCACGAGTCTGCCAGCTAAAGCCTCTCTCCGGCAGGGTGGTTCTAGCCATGTTATATAAACCTTGCTGTACGGTTCGTTTATCTTGTTTTACAACTGTTTGCCTGTGACTCCAGGTATTATTAGGGCTTTGCTTGAATGCCATGGATCCCGACGGATACCTTCCTCCTAATGACCGCCTCAGTGATTTGCTCCTATACATTCCAGGCTGAGACGTGGCTGCACGGATGGCCGTACCTTGAGGAATCCCTGAGAAAGTGTGCAGCTGAGCTGCATTAGAGCCAGCAGCACAGTCCTTAAGAGCTACCACTGACTGAAAATGGTTGTGCCTGGAGGGTGAGGAGGTACCGTGAACAGAAATGCTGCGGATAAAGCGGCGGTGGGAGAGCCTTGTGTTTGGTGTTGTGTGTGAGGCCATCCTTCTGGGCCCCTGAAAATGGTTTCCTTTTAACGAAAGGCTGCTGAAATCAGCCATGTTTACCTTTAAAACAAAAATAGTAAAACATAGAAAAAACAAAGAGTCATTTTCTGGATGAAGACACCACCATTATTAATCATTGAAGTCGATAGGAGGCTGCATGGTAACTCTGGAGGAGCTCTACAGCTCAGGTGAGATTATTTGTTGATCGGATCACTAATTCACCACATATTCCCTTTGCTTTCATTATCGGCTCTAATATTAGCAGTTTCATTTACTTAAAGTTACTCCATTCCTTATTTTCAGCCTTTTGTCAATCTATTTTGATGCCGCTTTATCATAACTTTGCATTTTTCACAGGTTTTCCTTTTTTCCCAGTTTGTATAAACCGCTTTACATGTTCGCTTGGCTGCCCTCACCACTTAACAAACTCTATATAATAAAAAAAAAAACCTATTCTAAATTTACAATTTTATTTCGTTTAGCTACAAAAAAAAACAAACAAAAAAACTCCTATACTATATCCAGGATAAATATTTTTTTTTACTGGAAACATTTAAAGAAAAACCCAGAAGAAAAAGCAGGTAAACCTTCTCTGAATATTTCTCTCTATTCGTTTCTCATTTTTTAATATCCTATTACTACCCATAGTTCCTTGTATTGCCATTGCCATTTTTTTTTTACCTTTATTCCACCAACATCTTATTCTTACTTTTTTATTAGGTTCTTAATTGTCTACATTGTTAGGTAGTTTTGGAGGTTCTCTGTGTGATTGCATTATATGAGGCAATTCAAAAAATTCAAGTTGATGCCATGAGTTGAACTATAATCTATAATTGTTTTGTTTTTTTTAAATCAAGAATTAAAATGACTGCTAATCTATTCCAGATCTGTCTTTGAACAAAGACTTCTGTCAGAGTTGCACGAGCCTGAGTTAGAGATCAGCTAAAGAAACTACCATTCTTGCTTAGTTTTATCGCCATAAAACCAATAAAGGCTTTTCCATCTACTACTGTAAAGTGTGTAAAAATGTATTAGTAAACATTGTGTAAAGGAAGAATATTTTGAGATATTCTAAAGATGAAGGATGCTTGTGATTTTTTTTTATTTTGAATTAATCATCAAATATCAGTCAGACCTGAATAAATATTTTAATATGTATTCTAATGTTTGAATAATCAAAAAGGAGAAGATAAAAGCTACTGAAGTGTAACTTGGCTCTTATGTAGTTTATATGTAGGTTATATTGATCTATAAAAAAAAAATCTTTTAAAATGGATGCAGAAGATGAGAAATCAACATGAACCATCAGTTGCTTTTATTATTGAGTAGCAGGAAGAATTTAAACCTACTTTTACCAATCAGATAACTATGGATGTGAAACAAAAAGCTATTTTTATAGGTAAATGCTCTAACAGCAGCTAGTTTTGACATTTTAAAGATATATCCAGCTAATTCGCCAGAATAAAGAGCTCTATTAAAACATCACTCTGTCGAAGCTGCTTGATTGTTTTGGTTACAGAAAAGCTTTATTATGCATCATTTTGGTGCAAACATTAACTTCCACCTCAGGGGGATTAGTCTGGTTTGTTTTAGACCAAAGAGTCTGAGGCTGACCAGGTCAAAAATAAAAAATGTGGCAATTCAATATTTGCAAACTGCAATTGCACAGAAAAATTGTTCCTATAAATTAGCAAAGTTTCCGTAAAGAAAATCAAATATTGTTTGTACATCTTTAAGATAAAGCAAAAGGGTCATAAGAGAGTTGTGATTGATTTTATAGGCTTGCAGAAAGTCGAAATATAAAGACAGGAGCATCACAGACCTTCAGATTTGTTTAAAGTCAAATACAGGAGTATAATATGCAAAGTGCTACCTTGGATTCATATAGCTCACTGAAATGATGAACAAGCAAACCTCTACCTTAGATATACTTCTAGGTGTAGTAAAAAAAGGACAATAAATATTTTAGTGATTTTGCATTAAAATGACGAAGTCATACAGAACAATGACTTGAATAGGTGTTCAGGGGTTAATAAAAGGTGTGGAATGGTGCTTTACCTTTGTGTGGGAAAACATTTTATCTACATCATCCAAGCTCCTGGAGGTCATTCCCTGTAACTTGAATTCCCCTGAAAGATATCCAAAAAGAGTCCTCGTTAAAACAATAAAGGTCAAACCTGGTTTTAACCTAAATGGATGGGCTCTCTTTCCATCATGAGTGAATCACATTTCACCTAAAACATATTTCAATTACTAACCAAGAGTCAAATTAATCTACAAAAGACAAAAAGAAACATAGGTGACAAAATATAGCATGTTCTCATACATATACTCATTATGGGCACAAATCCCATCATCTTTAGGCCTTCAAAGCCCAATCTAAACGGTCTTTTTTTTTTCAAATATACACTTAATTTATTTATGAATGTTGCCATTATGGGCTTTGAATAGGAAACTCACAGTGGGAAGCAGTCACTAATCAGTGTTAAAGGTTAAAATAGACTGAGAGGAGGCAAAACAAGAAATATCAAATTTAAACTAACATTTGCATAAATATAGACAAAGTTCCCCACCCAAAGATAAATGGAGCAAAGTGTCCTCAGCGGCAAGAGATGTGTTAGGAGCTGTAAAGTATGGCTTTTAAAGTAAACAGCAATCAAGCACGGTGGAGGCAGCATCATGATTAGCTAAAATTAACAGCTGGATGATAGAAATAAATACACCTTTTAGGAATTTATAAAACAAAAATATTGAAAGAAGGTGGTCTGTGGCAGGAAACCACCTAATTTATGTAAAATAGTTTATTCAATTAGTGTTATACCTGGATCTAGTTAAGAGGTTAGAATTTTTTTTTGTTTTTTGCAATAATTGTGTTGAATGAAATGTATTAAAATGAGTGACAGTTGAGTTTGTGGAAAAAAAAAAGTATAATAGTTTGAGAATATGGTAACATGTGAAATGCTTCAAAAAGTCATTCCTGACAATAAAATACATCATATTCATGTCGATAATGGATAGATGTTAGATGTCTCTTATTTATTATAGACCTACACAAAAAAAGTTGTCTTAAAGTCTGAAATTAAACCAAAATGATTTTCAAACCAGAACATAAATAATACAAATACTGAAAAGTAAATCGATTATTTATCAAATAATTGTTTTACTCAGTAGAAATGCAAGATAGGAATCTGCAAATTACCCTGGAATATTAATAACATCGAAAGGCTTGTTTCAATGGGTGTAACCGTGGGAATTTCGATGCATGTTTATGACACTTAACTTGCTTTCTTTTTTTAATGCCATTCATGACTTGGCTGTCAATGTATGACAATGTAATAAAGTATGAGGTCTAACATACCTGATGCTCAATTGACTCATGTCCTCTAACTTCTTATTAATTTCACTTTAACATGGAAACATCATTCACGTATAAATTGCTCATCTTACTTCCAAACCACTTTTACATTTAAAGTTAATGACAGGAAAAATGTCCTGAATAGTGAAGGTATGCGTTCCAGTTTAAAGGAACTCCAACACCAACTTTCAAAATTTGTGTCATCAGCACTGCACAAAGTGTTTGAAATAATAAACTACCTCCAGATTTCTCAATTCCACCTTAAATGAGGCAAGGTGGTAGAAGCTTGGACACAGATGCGTGTTGGGACAGAACAATCATCCTAAAAATGCCTCAAAAATTGGTTCTGGAGGGAAAAAGGAAGGAGAAAAATGCCTCTGGCATTGCTGTGGCCTAATGGATTTATTATATAAGACCCGTTTTTGTCGGAAAAACTACTGTACCAACTTCCTTTCTGCCAAAAAATTAAGTTAAATATCCAAAAAGATTTATATTAGAAGCTTATGATTGTGATAAAATGTGCCTTATCTCTCACAGAAACATTAGTATCTACAGTGGTTGTGAAAATAAACAAAACAGCTAAAGTGTTCTTGTTTTTTTTACATTTTCCCTCACACTTGAATAGTTTAAAATCAAGCACAGGGGTATTATCAAAACAAATCAGATCAAAACATTGCAATGAGAATTCAGACTCGGCACTAGTGAAAGTCTTTTTTGAGCAATTCAGGCATCAAGAGCAGGTGATCTTGAGCTGCTACTGATGCCTGGGCTCAGATTATAACTGCGCATTTTCCTGTTGGATATTTTGCTATAGAGAAGAATAAAATGATGCTTCTATCCAGAAGTCCTCCAGGTAACAGCAAAACTGCCCCAAACCATAATCCTACCAACACCATATGTTTCTAAGGTGTTCTTTTTGAATAGTGCTTTACATCCACACACCTTTAAATCCAATTGTATCCCCTCAAACTGATTATTTTTTACTTAAAAGCCTTTTTGTGGCAGATCATGCCTTTATGATCTATTAGGTCAGAGGTCGTTTAGGTCTTTGAACCCTCCCCATCATGCCACTTTTCTTAGTTTATATTATGATTATTTTGTATAGCAGTTATCATTTAGTAAATTTAACAATTTAAAACTGCATTTTGTGTGTTAACTCAAAGTTATTTTATTAATGACTTAATTAAAAAAAACAAAACATAACACTTAAACTAAATCAGAATTAAAAGTCTTATGAAAAATAAACGTGATAATCCTGCTGATTACAGTATAATTGGGTATAACTTCCAGAATCAAATTGTTCTCACATCAAAGGGAATACATATCTAGCAGAAAATATGACATATTATATCTGCAGATATGAATCTGAAAATTATCTTAGAGGGATAATCAGATGTAAATTTAATGGATATCAGGGTGGAAACTTTGTGACATGCTTCTCACACTAAACTTGCTTCAGACTCAATGTGAAAGCAAAATATAAGCACATCAGAATACTGTTCTTTCACATTAGATCAGGCGTAAATAGATATAAGCCACACCTTAGAGCAAATAACCAGATGATGCATTTGGAACCAAGAGTGTGAAATGCTGTACACTAGTTTTATCAGCCCTCAGGCAGATCGACGAAACTGCAGGAACCTGTTGGACAAGGGGCCCACTGTTCAGCGACAGAAAAATACCTGTATTTACTCTAAAAGGCATTCATTAGGATCAATGAATGGGTCTGCTGCCAAACTCAATTAGAAAGGAGCCCACATAATAACTCTAATTAGTTCAATTAGTTTAAAAAGGAATTACTGCACCCTAAATATGAATCTTTTGTTTTATTTTTTTTTTTTTCTGCAAAAGTAAACGTTTTTCGAATCATAGTTAAAAGGGAAAATAGACCAGATATAACTTAGTTGGGTTTTTGTGTGTCTCGTGGGGCGCAGACATCAAAGAAACAAAAGCAGAGGCCTGTTCATTACTTTACAGTTAGTTTGGATTAATATTTATATTTATAGAGAGAATATAACTTGTGAGTATTACCATTGGATGTAGTCTTCTTTGTATTCCGTCGCAGTGAAAGCTGAACCTGCCTCTGGACCCGCAGGTTCTTCCCTGCTGACTCAGTCCTCGCCGAGGAGCTGGTAGTCGGTTCGGTCGGTAGAGCCAGGCTGGTGTCCTTCAGCTGCAGGTAGTCCTGCACAGGCAGCGCGGACTTGAAAAAACTCTCCTCCATGACGGAACAATGAACAATGCCCCGAGAGTTCAGCTTTTAAGGCCTCGTGTAGGATAATGAGCCCTTCTCCTTGTTAACAACGAGTCCTGCTTTGATGTGCCGAAAGGGAGGACGCCAGGGTGGGCGGAGCTTAACACGCACCTGAGGCGTCAGGTGTCTCCCGCAAAGCTTGACGTTATGACGACAAAAAAAAACAAAACAATTTTATAGAAAATGTAAATAAAAAATATGAAACAATAAAGAAAAAAAATAAGACTCAATATAATTTCTCTTATAAAATGAAGTAAAAAAATATATATATATTTTTTAAACGCTGATGTCAGGTAATAAGATATAA